GCGTGCGCGCGCGTGCGCGCGCGTGCGCGCGCGTGCGCGCGCGTGCGCGGCATGCGCGGCTAGGGCGCAGGCAAGTGCCAGAGGGTATGGGGGTGGGCACCACCCTGGGGCTACCCGTAGCATCGTCGGCTCAGTGATGGGTATCCCAAAATTTCGCCGAAGAAGCGCCACCGGCGGCACGCCGGGATGAATCCGGACTGTTCACATTGTTCGACACCGCGACGGCGAGCCGCCGCGGGCCCACAGGAGGCCTCGGAGCCGCGGCACCGGTCCGCGCCGCCAGCGGGGCGAGAGCACCAGCCTACAACCTGCCGACATGGCAGTTGCGACGGCGCGTTCACACACACACACACACACACACACACACACACACACACACACACACACACACACACACACACACACACCATTGGGTTTGTACTATTAACAACGGAAGGCGCTGTTAAAATAGTATCTTCTTGCCCTCTCGGTACTTGGCGTCGAGGGCGGCGCGCCGCCACCAGCCGCGCCTGGCGGCGTGCGACGTCGACGTGGACCGGCAGCAAGACCACGCCCGCGCGTCGGACCATGCCACCTGCCTGCTCGGCGCCCGTCATTTTGGCCATCGACCGCGTCCTCCGTCTCGAGGGCGCCTGGCGGCTCGGCCTGACGCCCGACGACGGCTGGAGCGAGAATGTTGCCGTGCTGACCTCCGAGGCGCTCTACTTTCTCGACGCGAGCGAGCCCGAACAGCTGTCGCCCGTTGGTCGCTCGGCGGGCCGGCTACTCCTCTCCGACATCGCGGACCTCGTCGTCTCGTCAATCGACGGCGGAGAGGGCTCCGAGATGCTGCGCATCAGCGTGCGCGCAATCTTTCAGGGCGACGCGCTCCTCCGGGCTCCGCCTGGCGCCTCCTCCATGCCGCTCTGGGTCGAGGCGCTCGCCAGTGCGATGCGCGGCCGCCTGTCGGATGGCGCAGAGGCAGGCCCGGCCGACGGCCTCGCGGCCTGCCTCGGCGCGAAGGAGAGGCAGTTGCGCGTGTCGGCGGCCTGTGCGTGGTGGGAAGCCCGGAGGCTGCCGCCGACAACCGAGCAGTCCTTCAGCAGCACGCTGGAGCCGCATTCAACGATGAGCTCTATCGCCCGTAGGCCGCCGACGCCGCAGTCCCTCCCGTCGCCGCAGCACTCGGCCGGCACGCTCCTCCGGAAGCGTCTGCTTGCGGGCGGGGCGGGGGAAGAAGCGGCGGGCGGAGGCGGCGGAGGCGCCGGCGGCAGTAGCACCGGCGGCGGCGGCGGCGGCGGCGGCGGCGGAGAGGGCGGAGGAGGGCGGTGGCCGTGGGAGAGCGGCCTGCTTGGCGGCGTGCGCGGCTTTGGTGTGCTCGAGAAGCGGCGTGACGGCATGCTGCGCGTGGGTTGGGTGGAGCGGCTGTTTGTGCTGTGGTCCGGCGGCGGCGCGCTCTCGCTGCTGTACTACAAGAGGCGAGGCGCGGAGCAGGGAGGGAGCGACGAGTTGCTCGGTGAGCTCGCGGCCCGCTCGAGCTCATCCGAGCTCAGCCGAGATTGACCGAGCTCAGCCGAGATTGACCGAGATTAGGCGAGGTGCGAGGCGTGCTCGAGCTGCGCGGCGCGACGCTCGAGCGACGGGAGAGATAGAGCCGAGATCGGAGATGCAGCAAAGACGCGTGTGTGCAGCACGGCAGCACTCCATGCGTACCTGTGAGGTGGAGTTCAATCCGACGCCGAGGCCAACTCGAGTACTAACTACTCATCCTCGGCTCGTGAATCAGGCGCTCGAGGCCGAGCCGCCCTCGGCCCGGGAAGACGGCGGGAAGGCGTCGCCACGCAGCTCCACCTCCTCCTCCGCCTCCTCCGCCTCGCACTACCTGCGCATCGTTGCCCGCGAGCCGCCGGCCGCCGAGCCTAGAAGCAGAATACGTAGTCTTGTACTCCAACTGGCGCCCGAGAGGGCCACGTATTCCGCTGATTCACTGTATTCGCCTCCGTTGTATTCACGCGGTGCTCTGAACACACTGCACAACACCGTCTTCCCGCCCTCATGTCGGAGTATTCAGCCCGTAGGCCGCCGAGCCCTTCTACGTGCTCCCGAAGCGCTGCTCCGCGCTCGACGTGCGGCGAGGGACGGAGGAGGAGTTGGACGAGTGGGAGGCGATGCTTCGGCACGCCATCGCCGCGGCGGAGCACGGCGCGGGCAGGCCCGACTTGCAGCTGCCTCCGCCTCCTCCCATCTCCGCAGCTTCGCCCTCGGCCTCCGGCGCGCCGCCTCCGCCACCCTCCTCCTCTCCCCCCCCGCCGCGCCTTTTCGCGCGCGCCGTCGCGTTGGTTCTCTTCAACGGAGGGTGCCTGCTCGCGCACTACGCGGCCGGCACCGCCCTGCTGGCGGCGGCTATCCTGTGCAACCTCGCCATTTTTGCGCTCGTGCCGCCGACCCCGCCGCCGCCGCCGCTGCAGCAGCGTCCCCCCGAAGCGCGCCGGACGGTTGCTGGCGCGGCACGGCCTAAGGCCGGCGCGGTTTGCGGCGCGGGCGCGGTGCTGGCCCGCTCCGGCGACGCGGCCGCCTTTTCGGTGCGGTGTGGGCCAGACTACCCCCGCCGAGGGCTCAAGGCGCCGTCTGGCCCGGCGATCTACGAGCTCGCAGCGAGCGACTTCGGGAGGGCGCACGCGCGTCCGAGGCACATCGCCGAGCTGATGCAGCTGCCCGCGGCGGCGGAGGGGCCCGGCCGGCTCCCCGCGCTCCTCGTCGTGAGCATCGTCACGCCGGTTGCGGCGCCCACGCTCTACGGCGAGCCTGAGACCGCGGATTGCGTCGTCGCGGCCTTCTGCTTCCGCTGCACCGAAGCAGCGCAGGCCGCATCGCGGGAGGCGCAGCCGGGGGGTGCCGTGGAGATGCTGGCGCGCTTCAGCGCGGAAGCCGCGGAGAAGCGGATGGAGGCGGGAGCCTTCAAGATCATCGCGCAGGCGGCCAACTGGGGCGAGATCGGGCTTCCGTCGGCGATGCGAAAGTTCAACGGCAAGCCGGTGCTGATCCGAAAGTCGGCCGAGCTTTACCTCGGCGCGAGCTACGTCGAGATCGACGTGTTTGTCGACCGCTTCTCCTTCCTCGCCAAGAGAGGCCTGCACAGCGTCAAACCGCAGGTCAAGCACGCCGACATCGAGCTAGCCTTCCTCCTGCAGGCCACGGCCGATGCCGACTTGCCCGAGCGCGTGCTGGCGTGCGTGCGCATCCCACACCTCGACTGGGAGGCGCTGCCGGCGTGGCCAGCCGCCATGTGCGGGTAGAGCAAAGCTTGGGATGTGACGACGCCCTAAGGCGGGGCGGTGCGCGCGCGCGCGCGCGTGTGTGTGTGTGTGTGTGTGTGTGTGTGTGTGTGTGTGTGTGTGTGTGTGTGTGTGTGTGTGTGTGTGTTTGTGTGTGTGTGTGTGTGTGTGTGTGTGTGTGTGTGTGTGTGTGTGTGTGTGTGTGTGTGTGTGTGTGTGTGTGTGTGTGTGTGTGTGTGTGTGTGTGTGTGAGTGTGTGTGTGTGTCTGTGTGTTGCGCTTTGCATCATGCACCTCGCCTTTCTTACTGGGCCACGTATGGGGACGTTTTTCTTAAATTTTTCATTTTCCTTTGAAACCTTATCCCCGCCCAGGCCCAGCGCCCAGGACGCGCAGGAGCCAGGTTGCACCTTGCAGGTACCCCACCACTTTGTGGTGTGTGGAGACATTTAGCATACCTTACCTAATACCTTACCTTACTCTACCTTACCTTCTTATCATGCTACAACGTCTCTCGCTCTTCCACCCCTGTGCATGCGCGTACTGCACGTGGGTCACATCTCATGTACCAGCTACACGCTCCCTCCTCCCCCGGCGGCCCGCCAGCGCCGCGCACGCCCGCTGGATGTGCTCGCGCGACTTGCAGATCGTGAAGCGAACCTGCATCCACAGCCATGGCGTGAAGAGCACCGACACCGTTTCACATACCGCGGCTCGCAGATCGAGACCACGCACCAGCGTGCACGACTCCGACTGGTCCTGGTCCGCGTAGAAGACGCTCATTGGCGTGCAGACGACGCCGCACTCCGCGGCGAGCGAGCGCACCTGTGCACGCAGCAGCGAAGGCCGTTGTGAAGGAGACGCCGTTCACAGAGCGGCCGGTCACGGAGCGGCGGGCGCACAAAGTCAATGTCGGGCACGCCTGGAAACAGAGGGAGGTGTGAGCACATCACTGAGTAGCGTGAAACCGAGCCAATGCCGGGCGCGCCCGCGTCCGCCACCAGGAAGTAGCCTCCCTGTGCGTCGCACACAGTCAGGCCTCGGTGCTCTCGCAGCGCCTGCGGACAAGAGGTTTATCAACAGAGAGTAGAGAGGTGTGAACAGCGGCTGGTTCTCGCGCGGCGCCGTGGCCAGCAGCTCGAAGTTGGCGCCGAAGAGCTGCGCCACGCCGCCGAAAGAGCCATCCTCCTCTCGCAGTGCGGCAGCGATGCCGGCTTGCAGCGGCGTGGGTGCGGAGTAGGTGAGGTTCGTGTGCGCTGATGCGACCGCGGTGGCGAGGCGCGCCGGCGCCAGCGCCCACGCCACCCGCCAGCCCGTCAGGGAGAAGAGCTTGCCTGATCAACGGGCGAAGCAATCGGCTCAATTTAAAGTCGTGATTCGTAAGTGGTTCGCCAGCCCGTCCGCGCGAAGCGCTCGCCGGCGCTACTGACCGTGATGGTCCTCCCGCGCATGCCTGAGAGCAGAGGAGGCCAGTGTGAACACCGAAGCACGAGCGGTGTGGGAGGAAACGCCCTCCTCGCGCGCCAGGCACGTCGCAGAGGCGGCGGTGCCTGCACCCCTCTCCAAACACCGCGTGCTCGTACACCTCGTCCGAGACCTAGTTGAGGGAGTGGAGGTGAATGAACGAACTAATGACTGAGTGAGGCGCTCGTGCTCCGGCGTCTGACACCGCCAGCAAGTCGTGCTCGACGCACACCTGCTCACGCGCTTTCAGGTGTGAAGACACGCCGTTCTTCTATCTCCTGCATCGACGCACCTCTGGGGAATCTCGGGGAATCTCGGGGAATCTCGGGTGATCTCGACGCACCTCCGCGACCGCCGCCAGCTCCGCCTCCGACGCCATGTGGCCGGTCGGGTTGTGCGGCGAGTTGAGCAGGACGGTACCTGGAGCGGTCACTGACTCATTACTGAGCAGCGAAATGAGGTCGTGTGGTGACCCGATTAGTTACTGACTAATGACCAGCACTCTCGGACATCTCGCCCACATCTCGGCCACATGTCGAGGAGGACGAGCGCCTGTTCTGGGCGTGACGGCGGCGCGCAGCGCGGCGGCGTCGATCGCGAAGCCAGGTGCGTGAGTTCGCACGGGCTGCATCACGGCCGGTGCGTTGTCGAGAGCGCCTTGCGTGAACGGGAAGTACGGCTCGAAGACGATCACTCCGTCGCGGCCTCCGCGCGACACCTGCTCGCTCACGCAGGCGCGCAGCGCCGCGTTGAGGCTCTCCTGCCCGCTCGTGCAGATCACCACCTCGGACGCTGGGTCGTAGGCATCGCCGGGGTAGAGGCGGGCGTACAGGCGGCTCACCTCCTCGCGCAGCTCCGAAAGGCCGGCGGGAGCGCTGTACTGGTTCGCGGCGGCGGAGCCTACCAGGAGCGCCTCCGCCGCCGCCTGCCGGGCCGTCAGCGAGCCGGCAAAGTCCGGGAACCCCTGGCCCATGTTGATCATTCCTGGCTGAGCGGCGAGGCTGTTGACCTCCCTCCACACCTCTACCGCTGTCGCGTAGCCTCGGCGGCAGTGAGCGGTCGCATAATAGCCTCGGCGGCGCAACGGCAGACGCACTGCGGCTCGAGACAGCATGCGTGTGCCCGAAGCAGCCGACTGCAACTCGCTCAGGTACCAAGAAAAAAGAAATCACAGGTTCTCCGAGTGCGGGGCAGTCACAGATGACGAGTCCTCACTTGGGCTATTCACACTTTAGCTCTTCACAGATGACACGTCAGTTCTTTATTAATTATTCTAGGCTCTTCACACTTTGGCCCTTCACTCATGACAAGTCCTCACTTATTTCTTGAGTACCGTAGGCTATTCACACTTTGGCTCTTCACAGATGACACGTCCTGACTTATTTATTAACTATCCCAGGATCTTCACACTTTGGCTCTTCACAGATGACATGTCCTGACTTATTTATTAACTATCCTAGGCTCTGCACACCTCGGTTCTTCACAGATGACACGTCCTCACTTCTTTTGTAATTGTTGGAGGCTCGTCACACGTCGGGACGACTGGAGTGGACTCTCAACATCATACCCTGGGATCAGACGAGTCAGAGTGTGTGACGTGAGTCACTTTGGGCCACGGCCCTCACTCCGAAATAGGTGCAGCGCGATCAGCGCTGAGCTGCTGATGGAGTATAGTGGAACTGGATGGGGTAATTACTAGTGTGTTAATTATTAATTGTTAAAGTGTGTATTCAAAAATTCCGTTGGGGGGAGGTATTCAGTCGGGGACAGGGAGGGTCCAGCTAGGTGGTGTAATTACCTAGTTGTTAGTTAGTAATTAGGATAATAACTATTAATTTTAATCATCGGGCGGGGGCGCGGCGCGACGGCGGGCGGCGCGAGGCGGAGGCGCGGCGAGGCAGCGGGCGACGCAGGGCGGGGCGGGGCGGCGGGTTGGGTAATTACTTAATTATTAATTAATTATTAATTAATGATCATCGGGCGGCGGCGCGACGTAGAGAGCCGCAGGAAAGCATGGCACCGCACGCGCCAGCAAGGCACGAATGACGTCTGAGCGAAGCCAAGCCTCTCTGCGACTGTATCTAGTAGGCGCGGTGACGGGCGAGCCACAGCTGGCAAGATGCCGATCGCCATCGAGACCTTGCTCGAGCCGCGGCGGGGCCCTGAAAGTGGAGCGTGTCAGGATCGGCTGCTCGGCTGTGAACTGACCTCGCTGTGAATGTCACCGCCGTCACAGTTCACAGACACTATTGTCCATGAATGGTAAGACTGATAGTAGAGTAGAATCGGGTCGAGCGACCGGCCCAGTCGACCGTCCCCTCCCCTCAGCAGAGTGGGCGAGAACCTAAAACTTTGGGTTTCTTTTTTTCGGCTCCGGTGGTGAGCCTGTGTGTGTGCCAGTCCGCGCCAGTCTGCGCCCTTGTCGTGCCAGTGTGCTGTGAGAGAGGCTTGTATCTTAAGAATTCTTTTTTTTGTTCACTGGGGGTCGCCGCGCGTCGCTGCGTCGCTGTGGATATGCCAACTTTCGTGCTGTGGGTGAAGGCGGAGCTAGAGGGCGTGAAGTCGCTGAGCTTCCCATTCCCGTCGACGACATGGACTTTCGACGTGCAGCAGGCCGCCGGTAGCGAGACGCGCGAGGGCGTCGTCATGGATCCCGAGGAGGCGCGCCGCACCGCCACCGCCGGCGTTTTGCTGCCACCTCTGCACAGTGTCGTCCCGCACGCGAGAGGACACTCGCAGTGGATGTGCCTCCGCCGCGGCGCCGCAGGAAGTCGAGCTCACCGACACAAAGGACGGCGTCGCCAACTTTGCGCTCAAGTTTCCGGGCGACAAGCGGCAGAGCTACGTCAAGTTTCTTGCGCCGGGCGAGAAGCACAAGGAGCTAGAGAAGCACAAGGTCAACTCGTTGTAGATGGGGATGGGAGAACGGCACAGGCCGCCATGCACACACACAGAGGAGAGAGGTGAAGACACAGTCTGGCCGGTGTCGGGACACCAGTCGGGCACGCCGCTAGGTCAAGCTGCGAGCTCAGACCGCCGACGACGGCGACCTCGTGCCGGTGCTGGCGATGGAGTGCCGCGGGCTCGAGCCGATCAAATGGCACCCGACGGGCGCGCATGCCTAGAGGCTGATTACACGGATCCGTTTCGGGAGGGAGGCTGGGCTGGACTCCGCCGTAGTCGCTGCATTCGGAGCCCCTGCGCCTCACGGATACCGCGGCCACACCGTGGCATTGGCGTGCTCGCACCGTAGGCCCGTATGAGGCCGAGAGCGAGAGCGGCGTGGTGTTTGACGGTGTGAGGCTCGACGAGGGCGACGACTGGTGCGACTACGACGAGAAGGCGGAGGCTAGCATGACGGTGGGGAGGGAGGTGCGGTACGAGTTTCGACGGCTGTGAGGATTGGGCGGCAGCTGCTGCTCGCCGCGCGGGGAGGTTACAGTACTGCTGCAGGCGGGCGGGCCAGCGCGTTGCGAGGCGTCCCGATCCCGAGCGCGCCGCTTCCATCGCTCCAGACAGTACGTCCCAGTGAGGATTGCGGTGTAAGGTAAGGTCAGGTAAGGTAAACTTCTCTACACACACGAGGTGGTGGGCCAGAAGGTGGGGCAAGGGGGGGACGATCGCACCCTCGAGCGTCTCCACGTCTAGACGACAGGTGCGTATAAACAGAGCAACCGCCTGTGAGCTGTGTATGCCTGTCATAATACATAAAGCCGTAGTCTGAGGGTGCAGTTGGCGACGGTATATCATTTCCCACTATGCCACGTCGCCCATCCCGGGATGGGCGACGTGCCCGGCCCCACGCTGCGCCCACGGCCCGCGCGCCGGCCGCCCGGGAGCTCAGGCGCTACCGCTCCGCTTACACGCATGGTAGCCGCGGCGGCGAGGTCAAGGTCGATTACAGCCCCACCTCCTTTGCCGGTCTCAAGATCGAACGAGACCGCAAGCGGCGCACTCTCAAGTGGCGAGCGTCCGACTCTCCTCAGCGGCAGGCGCCTCGCCGTCGCCGCCGACTCGCTCAAGCTCGCCGATCGCGACGGCAAGCTGACGCCGCAGCAGGTGCGGACGCAGAGCATCATCGGCCACCTCAAGTTCGTCGAGCGTGTCCAGCCGAAGCTCTGTCTGGTCCTCCACCGCCTCTCGTGCGTGATGTCTGCGCCGCCGCCGGCCGCCTACGTGCTACGACGTCGCGCGCGCCGCCCGCAACACTGAGGGAGGGTGGGGTCCTCAAAGAACCAGGTCGGCTCGTGCGAGTCTCCGCTGCCGATAGGCCGGGTCTGCAAATCCCCGCAGAGAACAAGCAGGCCATCTCCCAAGTCCAGCTCCTCGCGCCGCATGTTGACAGCCTTGATCAGCGTGCCAATCTCCAGGCACCCCGCCTGCGCAGCCTCGTCGACATAGACAGCGCGCGCAGTGGCGACATCCTCCAAGCCTGCCCGCCCCTCCGTGTGCAGCTTCTGCATCACGCTCTCCGCGTCCCACCGCTCGTCCTTGTTCACACCCGCCGCCTTGTTGAGCGTCATGAACTGGCAGCTTGCGTACGCGTGAACTGGCAGCTGCGCCTTGCACCGCGACTGGATCACCTTGAGACCCGCCCAAAACGCAGCCACCACCACCGAGCGAACCGGGCCATCGTGCCCGGGGCTGCCAGCGTCGCCAGCGGCGGTGCCACTCTCACCGCTGCCGTCCGACTCAGCCAGCCACTTGCCCGAGTCCCGCAGCTTGCCAGCGTGGCCAGCAACGGTGTCGCTCTCATCATCGCTGACGCCCTTCTCGAGCCTCTCCCTCTTCGTGGGCGGACGGGCGTACGTGAACAGCTCGTCGGCGTCGCCCGCCGCCGCCCGCCTTTCCGCGGGCACGGTGCGCACCGCCTCCACCGTCCACGCCTCCCGCAACGCCGCGCCCCGGCCCTCGCCGAGCCGCTGGAATGGTCCGCCGCCGTCGGCGTTCGCCGCCGCCGCGGCCCAGGCCGCCGCGGTCAGCGCCGCGCCCTGACCGACAAACGCGCACAGCGGATCCGGCATCTGGCCCACCGCCTCCCTCGCCCCGCGGTGGCCAGACCCTCTTCCACCCTTTGTGCAATCGCGCTTGTTACGCCTGATCGCATCATCGATTCATTATCTTTCGTCCGTCCCGCCGCCCGCCGCGCGGCCAGACTCCACATCACATAATTGTAAACGAACATTGATGGGAAGGCGAAACACAGTCCGACCAACGACTGGGACACCAACGCGTTATGGGTGGACGCTAGACGGGCATCGCGGTTCACAGCCTTGTTATTGAGAAGAAAATACCTCCTATGGCGTTCACAGCTGGCAGACCGCGGTGTGATCGATCAGCACTCTCGCTTTGCACTCGGCTTCTCCCTTGCACTTGGGCATGGACACACTGTACTTGATTGATTCAATGATCGCCATGTTGAACACGGACCCCAACCAGATCACGCTCCGCCGCGGTGTCAACAATCAGTTTGACAGCACCTTTCCTCCGCTCCTCGCTCAAGCAGGCCTCTCTGAGCGCGACTTTGCGAACGCGCTGCAGAACATCAACGCGGCCATGTCGGAATTCGATCCCGTCGCTTTCGCGCGGCGGATGCAGTGCATCGCGATCGGCACAACGCTCTTCTTTTTCGCGCTGTTTGCCATCATGGGAGATGTGGCTGGCGAAATGTGGCTCAACGACGCCATCCCTTCACCAATAGTGCTCCTGCTACCCATCATGATCCTCTTCATTGCCGCTCCCGTGTGCATCATGAAGCAGACGGCGGCGCGGATCGAGAGGGAGGTCCAGCGCGTGGACGCAGTCTGTCGGGCGCAGGAGATGCGCGGCGTCACGTTCCGGGCTGAGAAAGTGGCCACTGAAGAAGGCGGTCTTCCAGGACTGCTTGCCACTGGCGTCACCGTTGGCCGCGGCCGCCAGCACGTCAACTACGACTTTGGCCTCGTCGTGCGTCTCACCGCCGGCGGGGCCACCTCACAGGCCTATGGAGCTTCTGCGATGCCATTTGGCGTCCCGACCGGCGGCGCCGCGCCATTTGGGCAAACCATCCCTTCGGTCCAGGCGACCGCCGTAAACGCGAGCGTGCCAGTCGTGCACGCGAGCCCCGTCGCGGTGGCCGCGTCGAGCGCTAGTCCCTCCATTGTGGACCAACTTAACTCGCTCACGTCGCTCTACCAGTCGGGCGCGCTGTCTGCGAGCGAGTTCGAGGCCGCCAAGGCGCGGCTGCTGGACAACGACAAGACGCGGCTCATGAATGCGGGGTTCTGATGCACTCGACCGACCACTGCTGTCGCACGCGGGCGTCGGACTGTGAGCGATGCTTCGACCCACGGAGCGACACGTCTACTGGCTACGTGAGAGCTGTTGCGTGTGTGCGACGCGTTTTTGTGTTTACGTGTTGGTACTGGCTACGTGAGAGCTGTTGCGTGTGTGCGACGCGTTTTTGTGTTTACGTGTTGGTACTGGCTACGTGAGAGCTGTTGCGTGTGTGCGACGCGTTTTTGTGTTTACGTGTTGGTACTGGCTACGTGAGAGCTGTTGCGTGTGTGCGACGCGCGTTTTTGGTGTTTACGTCTTGGTAACATAGCCCTCTTGGCTCGAGTAGTGATGGTTGCGCGTGAGCTCTTCTTGGAGTTGGTCCACACCTGTCTTATCCAACGCCTGTCACGGGCCCCACCGCGGCAGAGCTGCCTTTCTGGGAAGCGCGGAAGGTCGCCACAGAAGTCGAGGACGAGGACAACGCCACGCGCGGGATGTCCACACGGCGCACGCTGATCACCATCTTCTTGCTCGGCTGCGGAACCTTCCTCATATCGCAGTGGCGCCTCGTGCAATGGCAGAAAAAAAATTGCTTTAGAAGAAAAACGAGCACGCATATTCTCCCCCCTCCATTCTCTCCCCCTTGGCGCGGGCGCCCCACTCCCCCCAGCCCCTGAATCGCGTACTAGCTGTGGCTACCGTAGGCCACACTTGCGTCGCCGGGGGTTCCCTGCCCTAATGGGAAACTGGCCGCTGATCCGAAGACCGACTGCACCAGGGTTTGCTAGATCGCGCGGGGTGAATGAGTGATGAAGTTAGTGCCTTGGGTGCCCGTTCCCCATGGTGGCTATGAACGAGAGCTCTCACTCCCAGGGTACTCCCGCGTATCTCGGCTCCCTTATCCCCCCCCTCTTCCCTCCCCTTTCTCTCTCCGAGATGACCCGTGCTCTACGTGCCTAGGTTCGGTCCTCGGGGAGGGGGGATTGTCGGTGTGTCCTCGCGAGTTTTTCGCTGGACGCCCGACAGCTTCGATTTCCCTCCTTAGCGCCCCGGGTAGAGCGTGGTCTCCCCTGGAGCCTGCCACGCCCGTTCTGTCTAAGCCCAGGGTTCAGCTTTCCAGTTGATCCTTATCGGACTGGTGAGTTCCTTCTCGCTGTCAGTGTGACGCCCCGGCAGACATTGGCAGCGGTGCTACACACACTACGCCATTTTTCGTTTGATTTTTCGTTTGACGTTTTCAAAGGGTGTCCTTTTTTAGCAATTTCTATGGGCTAGCGATGTCGCAGTACATGCGCACTAGTTTGGCAGCGATAACGTCCCCGTGGCAAGCTAAGGGGGCGCACGCGCACACAAGCCCCACGCGTCTGCCTTGTAGCATAAAGAGAGGACTCTTCCCAACATCTCCTTGCGCTGTTCGTTCGTGACTCGCGAATTCGTTTTCTCCAAGGGAGTGTTTTGTTTGGACAAGATTTTATGGGCTAGCTATCTCGCAGTACATGCGCACGAGCTTACCGTAAAGAAATCGCCATCGTGTTTTTCTTTTTATGCTTATGGCAGTAAAAAGAACTGCGTGCGGCAGGCGCGGGCTCGGTCGATATCCCATACTTCGACTCACATCTTCATTGCTGCGGTGTGAGTGTCAGTGTGCCCGGGGAGGCGCGGCTGCGGGGTGGATTGAGAAGGTCTCAGAATGCAGAGAAACTGCAGGAGTGGGCAGAGGCGCGCGCTGCAGTTTCTCTGATCGGGCTGCTGGCGGTGTGAGCGCGGGACGGCGTGGTGAGGCGTGAGGCAGGCTATTGTTGTGGGGTGCGGGCTGCGTCGTTAGGCGTATGCGTGCCCATGGTGCTGTATGCTGTGTGTGCAGGCAGGCTGGCGGTCTGTGCAGCAGAGAGCGGTTGAGCGCGCGCGCGCGCTTGTGCGGGCGTGCGTGCGCGCAGCGTGCCACGCGCGCGCCTCGTGCAGTGCAGACAGGCGCGAGGCGGCAGGGGCGCAGTGCGGAGCACGCGGGCTGATGGTGCTGTATGCTGTGTGTGCAGGCAGGCTGACAGGCTGTGCAGAAGACTGAGCGGATGAGCGCGCGTGCGGGTGCGTGCGTGCGTGCGCGCCTTGCGTGGTGCAGAATCTGCGTCGTACTCGCGGCGCGTCCTGGTACAGCCGCTTGTGAGGTGCCAGAAGCAGTGTGCAGAGCCTGCACAGGGCGCAAAAAGGCGAGGTAGTGCTGGTGAGGTGTGCTGCGGCGCGCGCGTCGCGGCGTGAGTGGATATGCGGCTTGCTCTGGTGGTGCGAGGGGCGCGTGGCTGGTGCGGGCGGCGCGGGACGGCCATGGGGCGCCAGCACAGGGCAGACGCACATGACACAGGCTTCTGGGCGCTACGCGTGTGTTTGCGTGCGCGCGGGGACGAGGTCGATGGTCGGCTGCGCGGCCGCCATCGGGAGCGAGGCCGCGGGCGCGACCCGGGCCTCGCTGAGCTTGGCCGCCACGAGCGCCGAGAGGGAGAGGAGCGCGGCCGGCGCCACAGAAACGCCGCTAAAAGGCGTGCGCGTGCGCGTGCGCGTGCGCGTGCGCGTGCGCGTGCGCGTGCGCGTGCCCGTGCGAGTGCGATTACCGACACAAGCAGTGTGGCTGCATTCGCAACCCAAGATTGGTCTTCCCGCTGGCACTGCTGGCGACCATCCCGTTTCGGGCTGAATGCTCAAGACCAGGAACGTGCTTCCCGCGCGGCTGCTCAGCTCGCTGCGTCGCCTCGCGGGCGCCGAGCAAGCACACGGCGTGCTCGGGCTTGCCGGCTGGCGCTCCGTGTCGAGCACCGCACACGCTGACTCCGCAGCTGCCGCCCTACCGTCAAGATCGCAGACGACCTCATGCCCGCCGACTTCCTCACCAAGTGAGTCGCGCGCGACAAGCTGAGGCGCAGCGTCGACTTCGCCACCAATGCGCGCGGAGAAGCAGCCGGGTGGGGGTGCACTCGAAGTGGCCGTTCTGGCTCGCGATGATCAGCGGCGTGGTGCCTCTGGTGTTGGCTTGGTCGACCGCTGCGCCAGCCTCGAGGAGCAGCCGGGGCGACCTCGGGGTGGCCGTTCTGGCACGCGATGAACAGCGCCGACGCGCCGCCGCTGCTACCACCGCTCGTCCGGGCAGCGTGTCGCGTTGAGGGTTGAGACTGCCGCGCGTCCGCCGGCCGGAGAGGTGGGCGTGCAGCGAGGCGAGGTCGCCGGCGGCGATGTCGGCGAGCAGCGTGGCGGGCGGGCTCGCGGCGGGTGCCATCACCGAGTCGAGACGCAGCGGCTACGTCAGAGCGGAGGACCAACCAGGGCGGTGTGTGTTATAGTGTATCGCACGGCGCCAGCGGACGGCTCTCTGTCTGGGGCGGGGGCTCGAGAGCGCGTCGGAGGGCGGACCTCCCCTCAAGGCGTACGCCAGACTGCCCAACAGGGCGTCCACACAAAAACACAACGCCTGACCCAAGACGCACAAGCAAGCACAGACAGTCGAAAGTTTAATCACGTGCCTCTGACAGAGCCGCTCTGAGCGCTAAAATGTTCCCTCACCCACTTCACGGCGTCCGCGAAAGACAGGTCGCACCAACCGCATGTAAAGTCGTACAGCTCCGGGATCTCGTGCCCGACGTGCCGCCTCCACTCCATGTTCCACCCCCAAGGCGTCGTGTCGGTGATGCGGATCAGGAGCACGTTCGGGTCCTGCTCGGACAAGTACGGGCATCGGTTGTTGATTGCGCCCGGCCGGATGGCGGTGACAGCGTTCATCACGTCATGCGAGGCGTCCGTGACGACATGATCCACGCACCCCGCCTCGCCAGGAGCTGGCACCACGAGGCCCTGGTAGAACTGGGTGTGCCACGGCTGGAACGGCGTCCACAACCATGGGCCGTAGGGCCAATAGAGCTCAGCGTACATGCGGCAGTCCGCGCTGTACTGAAGAAAGCCTCCTCGCGGGCAGAGCAGACCGGCCGCGGTCTGGTTGCAGCCAGTATAGTTCCATGCTCCGATCAGCCAGGGCGGCATGTCGCAGCGCTCGTCATTCACTGCCGCCAGCGACGCAGCCAATCGTGTCGCTGTGACCCACCGTGAGAAGAAGGCGCCGGCCGTAGCGAGGAGCGCCAGCGTACAGAGAAGGCATGGCGTGCGGGCACTCAGCAGCTGCCGGGTCTGCTGCGTTTGCATGACGCCGGAACCTGGCGAGTACAGTCGACGCCTGCTATTCACAGCACAAGCCCTCGCCGCGGGCTCGAGCATGGGGGGGGGCGCGGCCTTGAGTTATGTGTACGCCAACTCAGGGTGTGTGGCAGCCCGCTGGCTGTGTGTCTTGTGAGCTTGTTTGTGTCTGTGTGTCGCTCGTGCGTGTCGTCATCATCTGTCCCGCGTCCCCACCCATAGCCATACCGCGCTGGTGTCCAGTCCGAGCCTGCGCATGCGGCGTTTCGCTAAAAAACAATTGGTTTACTGAGAAGCCTTTAGCTGTACGCATTAAGGCTCCAGACGTCCCGCGTACCACGCACCTCGCTTGGTAAGACGCCGCCAGGCAGCGTCACGAGAATCGAGAATACAGTACAACAGCTGGCTGCTGCGTCTCGTCTGGAGGTGCCGCACGACGAAGCGAGCGACCGCGAGAGATTGCTGAAGCGCAACTCCCGCAGCCCCGCTCCGTGTCGCCTGTATGCCGCGGTCTCCCCCTTCGCCAACCCCGTGCACACTCGTCGCCCGCCGGTGCCCGCGCTGCAGAACCAACGCTAGAGCTCCTTGGCGGCGTCGCGTTTGACCTTCTTCTGCTGCTTCCACGCGTGCTCCTGCTCCTGCATGATCTGCACCGCCCGCTTGCCGCGCGCCTGAGCGTTGGAGGCGGGGGCCCGCTCCCGAATACCTGTCTCTCTCTCTCTACCTCAAAAGGTTTCTTTGTGGTGTGCAGTGAGGTGCCGCGCGCCTCGAGGTAGTCGTCACGCTGCCTCTTCTCGCGCTCGCGCTCGCCCGCGAGGAATGCGCCTGTAGGGCAGGGGTCCTCGGGACTGAGTCTGAGGAGGGTGTGCTTCCGACTGCTTCATGCCGGACAGACGGCGCGTCTCTTCTCGACTCGCCCGGGGCACACACCCTCCCGCAATCTCCCGCAATCTCCCGCAATCTCCCGCAATCTCCCCCTTAGGTGGACCGCCTGCCCGTGGCGTGTCTACTCCCCCCCGGGTCTTGACCTTGTGAGACCTTGTGAGAGCAGGCCGGCAACACCCCCTGCCCCATATCTCCCCACATCTCCCCGTGTCTCCCCGTATCCCTCCCCGCACTCCTCGGCATCTAGAGAACGGCACCGTCCTTTCGCAGCTCGCGCGCCGCGCCCTTGTGCTCCTTCTTCGCCTTGCGCTTGAGGAGCTGCAGCTGCGCGCGCTCGCGGTCGGGGTCGGCGTCGCGGCCTGTTCACACTGGCGGCTGTGGAGAGACGCCGCTCGCGTCCACGCGGCGCGGGCGGGCGGGGGCCGGGGGGGGGGGGGGGGGCATCCTCAAGGCCTGGCTGAAAGTCGCCCTCAAACACCGGATTGAGCAGCTTGATCGGCACCTGTTCACAGCAGCAGGGGTGAAAACCCCCTTTTCACACCCTCCAAAACCGGATTGAGCAGTTTGATCGGCACCGGGGGGGGTTGTTTCAACCCCAAAGGCCTCCGCCCGGGAATCCCCCCCCCAATGCGAAACTCCCCAAGGGCGCGCGCCCCCTCTTGCCC